CCAATGCTGTGGCACACATCACCAGCATACAGCATTAGCCATGCGGGATCCATAGGTGCTTCCCAGGCTCTGCATGCTGGGACACCTGGGTTCCTGCCCATAGCCCCACAGGGCTGTGGGTGACAGGGTGACAACAGGCAGTGGACCTGGCTGCTAACTCCCATCAGTTGGGCTGGGGGGGGGAAAGGTGAGGGGCAGCCCTCCTTCCAGCACAATGTGCTTCATCAGCAACTACAAGGAGCAGGCCTGCTTTGGCAGGGTAATTAGGTGCTGATTGGGATCCCTCAGTCTGTGATTAAGTAATTGATATATAGCACAGTATCAGGGGAGCTGCCCCTCTGAAAGCAGGATGGTGGCGGCTGCTGCTGCTTCTCTACCACCATGGTCCAGGGTGGGTTTAGTGCTCCAGACCCCTGGGTCTGGCTGCTCCTTCCTTCTCCTCAGTCTGGTAAGTAACTCAGTCTTATCACCTTAAATGTTTAATGCTTTATGTTTTGCTTCTCTCTAAAGCAATCGAGTGACTGAGGGATTATCCGTGTGTGATGTGCGGGCAGGGGTGGGTTGGTGAGGTCATGTCTGGGAGGGGAGCTGCTGCCAAGGCTCTTCCAGCTCTTTGTTTTGCACCTTTGGCATTGCTGCTGGGGACATGGGCAGCCATGGGGAGAGTGTGCAGAGAGGGAGGAAGAGGCAGGGGTGCTGTGGGGAGGGCAGGGTGCTGCAGTCCAGCCTGAGCCCTGGGGCAGCGTGTCTGTGCTGGGTCATGCCCAAAGGATGAGGCGGATGGATTCAGTATTCCCAAGCACTGCTTAAGGCATCACTCGCTTCCTTCTCTCACTGTCCCTTTTGCTCCATATCTGCTTCTCAGCCTCGGTGGCAGCTGAGGCATCTTAAAAAGATGGTCAGGGCAGTTGGCAGTACCTGTAGCCCACCCTGGCTGTGCTTGGTGGCTCTTGTGCCATGGAGTCACCCCCTTGGTGACACCCCTCTCTGCTCCTCAGCTCTCTGCAGAAGCCTCCCCTGTGAAACAGGGTGGGAAGGGGCTGGGTGATGTTAACCTGGAGGGGCAGAGGCTTGCTGAGCCAGGAGGAGTGAGGTGGGAGTTGCTGCTGGGATCCGCTTGGACCAGCAGGAGCCCCTGCCAGGTGTCCCCATCCTGAGCCGGGCAGATGCGTCTGGGGATTACACCATGTGCCTCCTTCAGTGGACTTAATCTTGCTGTTTGCTTTGTGCTTGGGAGAGGATTTGGGTGTTAGGGTGGGGGCTGTGGCTACCTCCAGGTCTGGTGAGGCAGTGGGGGTCCTGTGCTGGGCAGTTTGTGCTGGCAATAGGTTTGTAAAATGGTGAGAATGAGTTGTTGTTTGGTCTGAACATCCCCTTCGCTTTCCTCAATGCCATCAAGTCCTGGCTCTTGATCCAGGCTCCCAGCAGTTCAGTGTTTTGAGTATGGAAGGCGCAGCCCCGCACTGCTCCATGTGCTGAGGAATCCCCCAGAGCAAAACTCCTGGGCTGTAGTGTGGCTCTGGGGTCTCTCACACAGCCCAGACCCAGCAGCAGGTCTCTGGGGCAGGAGCAGGGTGGTGTTTGTTGAAGGGCTGCTCACAGCCCCAGTGCCAGGTGCTCGGGTCATCCCCTTCAGCAGCAGGTCTGGGTGGCACCTAAGCCATCTGTCCTCCCTTGCCCTCCTACCAGAGGATTTACCTTTGCTCAGAGGAGTAGCAAAACCCTCTCATCGAGAGTTAATCTCCAGGCTCCAGAGCGAAGGGCTGAAGTCCTTACCTGACGTGTTATCTTACCTCTCATGGTGGCTGAGGGCTAGGAAACCACAAAGACCAAAGGATGCTGGCAGGGCAGGGCTCTCTGTGGCCCTGGGTGATGTTTGTGGCTGCCCTGGCTGGGGGCATTGGCTGGACCAGCACAAGGGGATGAGGTTGGAGGCTGTGGGAGCCCGGCACTATCGCCAGCAGGGATGCACCTCTGGACTAAGCAGCGTCTGAGCAGGACAGTGGGTGCCTCCAGCCCAAATAGCTCCTCAATGGCATCAACCTCTCTCCTCTGTCTGCTGCTAAGTAATAAGGCCACACTGTTGGCTTGTCTCAGGGTAAGCAGGGAGAGCATCCAGACAGGAGGCACTAACTGCCTAGCAAGATCCAGGGATGGACCAGCAAATGCTGGGAGAGCGGGATGGAGCCAGAGAGCTTGACTGCCAAACATTAGCCCCTGAGACATGGATGTCCTGCAGATCTAGGGTTCCAAAAGCCATACCAGCCTGGTAGTCATGGCCAAACCTTCTCCATGGGAAGCCTTGTGGTGTCCCAGTTGTTCATCTTGGGGATGCTGCTTCTGTCTGATGGGTGGTGAGGAGGGAAGTGACAAGCCCCCAGACCTCGAGGCTGCAGTGAGGAGCCCAGCACTGCCTGAGCTAAGCTGTGTCTGTTTCTAGGGATCTGATTTGCTTTGGTTTGTTTTTCCTTTCCTGACCCTGCTGTGCCACTGATCTGTTGTGTGACCTAGAAAAGAAAATGATCTCTCCTTCAAATGGAAGGACAAAGGAACAGCTTAAGGCTTCTGTATCTAGGGAGCATCAGGCAGATGGACGCTTTTTATAACACAGCAAGGTGATGAGACTCGCTCTGTGCCAAAGCCCTTGCGGGCAGTGTCCAGGCTCAGTGGGACCTGGGCACAACACAGTTGTGTTTTAGATCCCACTGCTTTGACTCACTAGTGTGGCTAATGCAGTGCCTGCCCACTGGTGCACTCCTCATGTAGGGACCCCTTGGTGCCTCCAGGATACTGGGGGACAGAGCCCCCAATTGCTTTTCTGACAGAGACCAAAGCAAAACATCTCCTCATTTCTCCTTAACAGCTCATTTCTTCCACATAGCCAGCAAATGTCTGCCCAAGAGCACAAGTGCTGCATCTGTATGGCTCAGCCCAATTTGTGGTGCACAAGCAGGAAAGCTGCGATGCTCCTTTGCAAAAGCCATCAGGTTTGACCTGTTCTGCAGTCACAGGCTGGTTTTTCATGGTCCCTTTATACAGAAGGACAAGCAGGGCATTAGCATGGGATGAGAGCCCTGGCTTGGTTCCTCACTCTGCCCGAGGCTTTCTGTCTGACCATGATGAAGTGGCTTTAATTTTCTATCTTTAAAACAAAGATGGTATCTTGGTGCCCTAAAGAGGGTAAGACAGTGCGCTGGGAGGGCTGTGTGTGTATCAAAGAGTGCTCTTTATCTACACTTGAGTGGGAGGGCTGCAAAGGAGGTTTCTTGCCCATCAGTCTGCCCAGATCTCTACTGTCACTAGCAGCCTCCCTCTTTTGAAGTGCTTTTGTCTTCAAGATGGTCTTGGAGAGGGAAAGCTCACAGCCTTGTCCTGAACCCTGTGCACAAACCTCTCAGCCAAAGCACTGTCTGGCTTCTTGGCTAGGATTTATTTAAATTGCTGCAGAGCGCAATCTGCCTAGTTAGCACCCAAAATGCACTCTGAAGAACTGACTGCATTAGCTTAAATTAGATTTAAACTTAGAAGTTGCTCAGTGTAAACCAGGGTCTTGCTGAAGCTTGCAAATAAGATGCCCTGCCCATTCTTATTTGTTACTTAACGCTGCAGCTGATATGACAGCTACTGAGACCTCCCTTGGCCTGGCAGGTGACAGAGCTGCCACTTCTATTCTTGGTGATGTGGCACACACTTGTTCTTTTAAGCATGTAAACACTAATATACCCTGAACCTTTCCAGCTTGGACTTGGTCTTCAGAGCTCTGGGGCAAAGGTAGAGAAAGCCAGTTTCAGGTCCAGCAGCACAGCTCCCACACCCTCCATCTCTCCAAGGTGTTCCTGGGTGCCCCCAGGGCCCCTGCCCACAGCAGGGGACAGGTCAGGACAACGTGGTGTCTTGGGATGGGCTCACACCATGTAGGTGCTGGGTGGATAACACTTACACCTGGCATTGGAGATTAGCAGTGTCCAGGGCACAGCAATTGAACTCTTGCTTAACTTAGTAAGCAAAGAGGGAATGTGTCACTTAAGTGCACAGATACAACCAGAAGCAACCTCCTGTGTTGTGTGCAAAATGAGTCTGTTTTAGAACCGCCAGTATGGTTTTCAGTCTACTCATGGCCAGGTTAAACAGTCAACAAGCAGCGTCAGTACTGGGAGCTACAGGGCAAACAGGCTCTGCCTCTTGCTGGAGAGGGGTTACTGTACTGGGAACAGAACAATAGAGACACATGATTGCTGGGCTAAGGCATCTGCAATGAGCAGCCAATGCATCATGCTGGGCAGGAGGCCATAGACCAAAGTTTATAAAGCTTTATTAAACATTTTGAACAGCTGTGCAATGAACAAACAATACTCTGGAAGTTTCATAACCTCATAGCTTGAACTTCCACAGGACAGCAACAGCCACTTCTGCTGCTCTCCACTACGAGGCTGAAGTAAAGACAAACAGATGACAAAGGGGAGGGAAACCTTTAAAGTTTAGAGACAGTGTTTTGTATTACCCTCTAAGGCTTCTCACAAACCAACCTCTGCTCCAGGCTGGGCTCCCCAGGAGCCACGGCTGCACAGAGCAATGCACACAGCATGGGGCTCTGCACAGCTGTGGCTGTAGGACTGACCCACCACCACCACCACCATGGCTTCTTGACGTCCTTCTGCCAGGGGATGTGGAGACACTGGGCACTCCTCAGGCCTCCTCCCTTCTCGAGTCAGTAGCACCAGCACCTTCTGTCACCCCTGGCCTGAAAACACTGAAAACGGCTGAAGCATTTACTGCTCCAAGCCATGACTCCACCTCGGGATCCTCTCCTGCCCTGCCCATGCCTGGCCTTTTGGACTAGCATGAGTTTTACAGGGTGAGGTTCACAGTGGCTTTCAAAAAACCCTGCATCTTGCAGCATACTTGTTATTCATCCCAACAGCCAATGCCTTGGTAAACCCTGGAAATCTAGAAGGAGGGAAAG